AAACCTAAATTACATCTTATCCCTACTTTTTTCTATTTTATAAAAATACCTTAAAATATCAGCCATTCGGAAACATAATTGACTATCCGGATACATTAATTGTGATTTATTATAAATGTGGTTGTTGTGCTTAAAAAGGAAAACAAAACAGAAAATCATATTAGAATCCCATAATTTATGTTATTCAATTCCTCTTTAATGTGTCAATCAGAGAAACTAAATCCTAAAATAACAAATCAATTCAAAATTCAAATTCCTATTCATCTTTGTCCCTGTTTCAATGAAGAAACTTTCAAGTAGGACTCAAAACTTTTGTTTTAAAATTTGATAAGATACATAATGAATATTTTGATTTTTGACTGACACTTTCGAAGGAAGAAAAACTCGAAGATCATAGCTTTTGGGTTCTTCGAATTCTACACAAATCTCACTATGATTGACGATCAGGTCTGGGTTTCTTTGCCAACTTTCTTGGTATCTTTATTTTGTGTTGGTGGTTGCTTACCATTGTGTGATGGCAGATCCCAAATATGAAGGCAATTGAAAGTTATTTTATAATTAGCTTGGGCAAAATTAGTTATGTTTATTTGCCATAACTTCGATTTTCAAGTTAAAAGATCTATAACAAAAGGTATGCAACACATATTCGTGTGCTTTAATCATTATTTTTTCATGAATTTGTATATTGACCGATAAGTCATGATACATTGCTGGTTAGAACTTGATACATTAAATCTTTGACATATATATTATGGGTTTGCAGATTTGTGAGTTAATGTGTACTGTTAATATAAAGTATCACATATCTGCAATTCTTTTTTGATTTTTGAATTTGTATATGCATATATAAATCATGATACATTATTGATTTCAACTTGATTCAATTCTAGTTTGATGTGTATGTAATGGATTTTTCTAGATGTGCGTCTGTGTGTTGTTACTACAACATATTAGATACATATAAAATTTCTTTTTTTTTATGTATCAATATATGAATTTCTTTATCAAAATATGAAGGTATGTGATATATATAAACTATCGTGTACCTGGAGTTAGTTATCATTAGGTTGTTGTGCATCTTAAGTTGAGTTGATTGATATGTGATGTATCTCTAACTTTCAAGTGTGTGCAGGTTGTGGACAAGAAGGTCACAATTGAAAACTTGTACTCTCTTTCCGAAAGAAGATTGACAAACTCTTTTTTGAAACTACTGTTATGTTTCCGATACATTATTATGAGATTATAGATTTTCAGTTTTTTTGCTTTTTCCACTTTTACCTTGATAGAACATTACAATTTACTATCAGCTGATGAAATTCTGATACAGTTAATTGAAATGTTAAGATTTTGAACCTTGTGTTCATTTTTGTAACAAATTATGTTTCATATACCTCTTTTTAAAATAATGTATCATTAGCTATTTGATAATAATGTATCAGAGATTGTGTTTGTAGAGATGGTACCACTTAATATGGTTCAGATACATTTTTATATAATGTATCATGTTCTAGTTGAAAATGATGTATCTGATACAATAAGATTGTGAAAAAGTAGTATGTAAAATTAAATAAAGTGTATCTTTAAATGTATCACAATAAGTAAGAATTAATTTATCAATTAGATACATGAATGGATTAGGAACTAACTACAACTAATTATCCAATGTATCATCATAAATCAATACGCAACTAACTAGAACTAAGTTATCAAGTAAATACATAATTGAATCAGCAATCAAGTTATAAATTACATTGCATTAGTTAGGTGTCGAAATGTATCAGTAACTAACTAAAACTAATGAGAAGAAATAATGTTGTGTGTTTATGCATTTATGAATCTGATACTTAATTTTATCCAAATTTTGTATCGTTTATATAAGACAAATGTGTAGGACAATCCATACTGTAAATAACAACTAACAATAATGAAAGTTAAAGTCAAAATAAATAACTTTTTAGAGAAACACTCTAAAACTTGAGTATGAGTATCTTAAAACAATAAAAACAAAAAATTCTAAAACTAGAGTTAATGTATCTCAAAAACAATAACACTATAAAAAAAAAAGTCTCTAAGAACTCATAGATAATCTCTATTCAACATTAACCAAACCGTCTTGAGCTGGTGCTGTGAATTGACTCTTAGGCCTTAGTTGATACCTAATGATAACAAATAGTAATTGATACTCAATACCAAACAGATGTTGTATACAATCTGACAGATATTTGAATCTGCTACAAAATGTAACATCATATATTCATAATATGATATTTAAGTATCATGTGTTCAACTATTTTAGACTATGATACATTGTTTTGCAATTTACACCCATAATATAATTTGAACTTTAGTTTTTGATACATTGATTATAAATATAAAAAAATGGACTAAATTTTGGGTTTTATTTGTAACAAACTGACATTTATTTGAATATGATACAAAATGTAAGATCATATATTCATTAAATGTTATTTAAGTATCATATGTTCAACTATTTTAGATTATGATACATTGTTATGCAGATTACATTCCATCATATAATTTGAACTTTAACCTTTGATACATTCATCATAATATATCAACAAAATAGATCAAAAATTAGGATTTTATGTGTAAAAGCGGTAGATTTAAAACAAGATACATAACAATATGATACTATATCTTTAACAATAATGCATCAAATTTAAAGCAACTAACAACAGGGGAAGACAAAAAATTTAAAACAAAGAAATAGATACGAAATGAACTGATATATTTGAATATCTTGATATAAATATATAAGTCGAATACATTGATACAAAAGTATATCAACGAATATATACATTTGATTACTTTGATACAAGAAGTACAATAGTGAATTGATACCCTTAAATATATTGATACAAATATCTTATAATGAAAAAATACACAAAAATTTCACCAGAAACAATAAAAATACATCCCGGTCTAAAAAAAATTTGTAAAAAATACATAAACAAGTTGAAACACTCACTCCCCATCGTGTTAGGCATCAAAAATGTATACACAAAATGAAACACTCACCCATAAACATAGTCTATTAAAAACTCATTTGATCTCACAAAAATAAAATAAAAATACACACCCATCGTTAGAATATTATGGTACAATGAAGATGATGGAGGAAGAAGAGGTTGAAAACAACAATGGCCGAAGAGGAACCATGACGAGATTAACTCAAAAAATACAAACCAAAAAAGAAGTTACTTAATTGTGAGAAATTCTAAATCGTTGGAGATTCACATTAAGAATCGAAATTGATTTGAAAAAGTTACTAAATGAAGGAACCTGATCCATATGTATCAAGAACAAAAAATGAACAATTTTTTTTTTGAAGAAGACAGCAATGGAGTACTGGTTCCAGAAATCGTAAACAAGTTGGCTGGGGTCTGCCATTAATTAATTAGTTTTCTCACGTAGGAGTACAGTCCCTACATATTCATATGTTTGAAATAGATTGATGGGAGAGAGAATCTTTTTGAAAATCAAATTTATTTAAAAATTGTAACTGCTAAGAATGTGGAGTGAATTTAGGGAGAAAAAAGAGGAGTGAAAAGAGGAGTGGTAAATGTGGGTTTGGCTGGTGGATTTTATGTATCAGAATTTTTTAGGAATTGGGAGAAATAAGAGATTTGTGAAATATTTAAAAAAGGTAGGGATAAATGGAGAATAAGGTAAGTTAATGTGTATATATAAGTAATTTCTATTGGACAGTTTTTCTATTTTTCATTTCTTAATCCCTATTTGTCTATCTACTTGATATACGAGCCCATGTCAAGCCCAATATATGTTACTCTTTTTGTCCAATTTATGGAGGAAATAAAGTTGAGAAAAAGTTTATAAATAATCTTTACAAGAGTTAGTCTTGATATTTTATTCCTACAAAAAATAATCTATCAAAATTACATTTATTAATTTGATAAAAATTATTTGAATGAAATTGTCCTTTAAAGTTGTAAACAATTCGCTAATGTTTTTGTTTTTCTCTGCATTTCCATTCTCTTGTCTATTTTTCACTTCCCACAATTGATGGTTTCATTGAAGATGCTCTGTCATATCTCATGTCCTCCTCATGGCGATTGGTCCAAGTGATCATACACTTGTTACCATGCAACTAAACAATCAGACCGTTCATGATGTCGCCTCCTCCCATTTCAACTACTCTCTCAAAAATGATTTAGCACTTTCATTTATTTTTTGTATTATTGAGTTCAATTTCTCTTCGGTAAGGAGCTATTGAAGTCGAAATTCTTAACTCTCAGCCTCATAATTGTTCCTAAACATGAGATAACATCCTCCTTGTTCTCATTTTTATCTCCAATCACGGTGAATTTGTGATAGAATAATGTAGCATGACATTTTTTCTTTTTGATTCTACACTTAAAGGGGAAGCTTAGGTTGTGGATGGATAGTCTTTCAATGTTAATCATCTAGAGAATTAGAGTTGCTCTCAGCTTTTTCTCTTATGAATCACCATTGTGTTTTTGATTTTAAGGGTGTACAAGTCAAATTGAACCGATGAAACAAGTATAAGTATCGAAAAAAAACAGACTTGTTATTTGATTTGATTGGTATGCTGAAAAAATAAACCCGATGACTCATAGTTTGGTTTGGTGTTAACATACAAAGACCTCTTTGTGGATCGAGGTCATGAGCAGATCATTGAATATACAGATGTCGATTGAGCAGGTGATCCTTTTGATAGACATTTCTCATCTGAATATTGTGTTTTTACTAGGCAATACTTTGGTGCCGGTAAGAGAAAGAAACAAAACATAGTTGCCCGATCTAGTGCAGAAGCAGAATATCGAGCAATGGTCATAGCAACTTGCGAGCTAGTTTGGATCAAACAACTGCTCGGTCCTTGTATTAGCTACATCAGTAACATGCACCACCTTGAGGGAGAGTGTTAGAATAGTCCTACATGGAAAATGATTATATTAGCGTCTATAAATATGGCTCAGTGTAATAATATAGTCAACACGATGCAATAATACTTCTCTCCTTTATTTCTCACAAAGATTAATGCAGTGGACAACCAGAAGTCCACTGACTAGAAACACACCGATGCCTAAATTTATATCTGTTGCAACTCAGACATCGCCAAAAGTTTTAAAAAAAAACATTCTTTACAGTGCAAGAATAAAAGGTACAACAGAAAACAGAAATATTGCCTGAAATAGGGCTTTTATGGGGTTACTATGGTATTGCGTTCCTCATCAGAAACTCCAGTGCGCACTCTGCAAAAAGAAATGAACCTGCAAAAATATACACTAAAATCAGAATTCGAGTCTGAAGTATTTGAAATACACATCAGTCATCCTAAATCCACATAATTTACATTCTTTTTACTATGTGTTAAAAGGCATTGAAAACTTTTCAGAAAGACTCATAACCATATTGAATTACTTCAGAGAATGAATTCAGATATAGATATGAAGCTTTCCATTCTAAGTTCAAAGACATCTCATGGAACTGCAGTACTCTACATAAATGAAAGCCCCTTTCCTACTTTCATGGAGGAAAGAGAAACAACTAAAAAATGGGTTAAGAATTTACTTTCATGGAGGCATGGATTACGTTAATATAAACATAAGCTATTTGTATAAAAAATAGACAGAGATCAAACATGATAAGTTTTTGAATATTTAAAGGACTAACTCCGGTAAGTGTATAAGGGACCAGACCGGATAAGATTTGGGTAGTTAAAGGACTAAATCCGGTAAGTATTAAGTAAAAGACCAAACCTGATAAGATTTGGGATAGTTAAAGGACTAAATCCGGTAAATGTATAGTGAAGCAACTATTTTGAACATACTCCAATAGTTCAAGACCATTTGTGGCGCTTTCTCCAGGAAAATCATTTAATCATTGCTTGAGAATGGCTTTCAACACTTCACAAAACCTGTCATCTTATCCTTTCTTCCCAAAATGCCCAATAACTTATCTGTGACTTTCTAAATGAGAGACAAACTTAGAACAGCAGACCATCAACATAAGCACTCTCATTAAGGAAATAAAGCATTTGCTCATCTCTTGGACAAGAAGTTACTATAGGAATTGTCGCCAAATGCAAGCAATGAACAAATATCTACCTAATTGTAGGCCAAGATGTACCTTAGTCACCAAGGTAAAAACGATGAGATTTTAAAATTTACTTTAAAATCAATTGGTGGAAGATCCAATATCTCTACCAAAAGTATCAAGTCACGGTACGAAGGATGTCATAAGGTTCAATATGAGAACTGGAAGCAAACCTGGCGTTTATGCCGTTGACTTCTGTCCCTCAACTTTTCACAAACTAGTTTTAAATCGCATGTGACATTGAACAAGTCCTCTGCATCTGGATGGAATTCGTGAAAGATGCTCTTTTCACTAATTCCCAACTTCATATCTAAATGATACAAAATCAATGGCAAATTGACATCATTGGCCATGGAAGGAGATCCCAGAGTTTAAACATTGGCAAAAAAATATCGAACCTTTCAGAATTATCATCATAATCCATTTCATTTCTTGAGCATTTTTTTTCCTTATTAGATCAGACAGAATTGAAGTCTTCGCTGCTCTGATAAAACAATAAAATATACCTTTGTGAAGCGTAAGGATAACAAGCTAGGTATATTGTAAATAATGGAGCAACAAAGTATCTGATCAAGTTCTTTCTAAAATAATGGTCACTAAATGAAGCAACTGAACTCTACAACTGAAGTATGCATTCCACAAGCATCCTGCAACAGGTCTAGGCTTTAAGTAAACAATGCAACAAATGACAGATCTAAGGTTTAACAATACAACAAGTCTAGGTATGGATATGTAGCACGATGTCTGAAACTACGGTAACTGAACTGCTGAGCTCTTAGGTATCAGAAAAATTTCATTAAAACAAAGAAGTTTAGGATAGAATATAACAAACCAGCAGGGTAACCAAAGAGCAGAAAGATGGTCATGGCATTTCTTTCCATCTTTGTACAATAGGTGATGGAAAGTTTCACCTCTATCAGAGAAGTTGTGATGCAAAGAATAGCACTAGTTCACATTTTTATCCCATTCTTCACTTCACCAAGCCCTAGCACGACTATTCACTATTCTTACAATCGTATATGGGTTCTTAATGAGATTCTAACCCTTCTCAAGGGTTTAAATGAGGATTTGGGGGATCTTTAAAATTTGGGTTTTTCCTTTGGATCTATTAGAGTGATTAAGGTCCATAAAACTAACTATTTCCACATGGGAATTTCTATTTGTTCTCCCAAGGCAAGGTTTTTCAAATCTGACTAATCTTTTCAATAAGTGAATTTTGCCTTCAATTACACATGAAAGTGGTGAAGTGTTCATGTATTACATTCCGAGTGTCATGATATCCCTCCCTTATCCTTGAAATCTCATTACTTCATTTCCATGAGTTTCATTGTTTCCACCACTATGATAAAATTAAATTTATGAGTTTCTTCATTGTTTCCAACTTGGTATTATTTTATCCCATCTCCCAAGTGAGATGAATTAGTCCAATGATTATAATCCCAAGACTATAATTCTGGGATAACTTAGATAGTTTCCAAACGACCCCTTAGATCAATAATCCCAAGTCCACCCCAAGTCCAAACACTATGGAGTGGTGCAAACTCCTAATTTACTTGGCAGAACTTTTCCCTTCCCGCTTAAACCATGCCATGGAAAAACCTTTGAAGTTTATGCAACTTCCGTTGAGCAGAGCATGAATGCTACTGCTACTGCCCCCTACTATTTTTTGTTGGGTTTAGCAAGGTATGAATGGGAAATAGTGAATGGGAAATAAAAAGAGAAAATGGAAAGTGGAAGAACCAATGAAAATGGGGGAACCAATTTTGGAGGGAAAATGAAAAGTCATTGCAAAAAGTGCAAATGAATAGTCATTTTTACCATATCGGTAGAAGAGAGGAAATTGTTGTCCTTATATTAGGAAACACTTCCTTTA